AGAAGAAAGATTGAAGTTCTCTTTTACTTTTAAACTGTCTAATAGGTTTTTTTCTCACATTTTTATTTCTAAAAGCCTTTTCTCAACTTTAAAATAAAAACGTTTATTGTGAATTAGGTGAAGTTTAGAACAGATCATTGGTCTTACATTCAACGATTCATACATTTTGCTTCAACTCTCCCCCTGTACCTGCCAAAGTGACAAGTAGATTGTGATGGGACAGCTGACCTTGAAACTGCTGCTCCAGGGGGTATACAGCCAACCTTTGGAGGCCTCTCCAACTCTACTGTGCCCTATATCCCCTAGCAGAGGCTCACCTCTTTCACTGATGCCCATAGCATGACCTTGGCCCAACGCTTACCTCTGGTGTCCTTAGCACTTTAACATGAAATAAGGGAAGATAACCTACCGCGACCATGGAAAAGACCTGAGACCATAAGCCCCAATTCTGTCTTCTAGAGGCTACATACCAGAAGTGGAGCAGAGAGCTCACCGCCTGGAGAGCCATGGTCGGCGAGCATAAACACATGATGCAGATCTGGAGGAAGGTGTGGGTATGCTGCGGGCTTTGAGCCTCGGGTGGGTATGGGGAGCAAATGGCCTGATGCCCGACTGCCTCCAGGTCCAGTCTGAATAGTCACAGGCTTCGTGTAGAGCACTTGGATGCTTGAGAACTTCACTCCAGCACCCATAACCCTTTAACCCCAGGTGAACACATCCACACCCACCGTCACCTGAGGGTGGAGGATAATGAAAACAGTGGCCAAGTGACTTGGACTGACTCCTTATAAGGAGTGGCTGGCACAGCCAGGCCAAAGATCTGGTGACCGCTGCTTTCAACAAGAGCATGAAAACTGGGAAGTGGGATGGTAAGTGCTGGTGAACCGTGACTGCTTGGGCTGGCTTGGCAGCATTTGCCTAAGTATCTCTGTTATTGTGCCCTATGGGGAGCAGAAAGGGGTAGCTTCTTAAACCTCAGTCCTACATAGAGAGGACAGGCACTTTGGGCAAGCTCTGCACATGATGCTCAATACCATGGTCAGAGGTGACATGACAACTCAAAATTAATTACTGGGAAGTTCACAACAGCACACACACCATGCTTTAAATACCTGGTGACATGACAACTCAAAATTAATTACTGGGAAGTTCACAACAGCACACACGCCAGGCTTTAAATACCTTTGCCAAAATGACAACAAGCTGTTGCTTGAGTTGGTGCTATCAAATAGGGCATTTCTTTTTTTTTTAATCATTTTATTGGTACTCCCTCAACACAAGAATACTCTCTTCTAGTAAATTGGCATTCTATGATGCTCACCTTCCCGACACAACCGCTGAAGACAAAGCGGCTGAATAAGCAAATGTGGTGAAGAAAGCTGA